AAAAGGCAGCTAAAGAATTCACTGACATAAATTTAATTTAATTTTATTTTTATTTTTCTTTTGGGTGAGTTGGGGTGTATAGGCAGCTCACAGCAGGCTGCGGTGTATACGCAGCTGCGGTGTATACACAGCCACTTTATACAAATGCATGAGCATAAAAGAAAAAAAATTAAACTAAAAAACAAAAAATAAATATATAATGTATATTTTTTTTATATACAAATTTAAATTAGGGTTTAGGGTTTAGGGTTTAGGGTTTAGGGTTTAGGGCTTGGGGTCCTAGGAGGTGTTGCTTAGGGGGGGGGTGCTGCAGCAGGAGCAGCAGCAGCAGGAGCTGCCTGTACACCTCAATAAACCACAAAACTTCTTTTTTTATTTATATATATCAAGCAGCAGAAGCAACCAGCCTGCTGCTGTTGCTGCTGCTGCTGCTCCTGCTGCAGCAGCTGCTGCAGGTCACCCGGTAGCAGCCATCTCCTTTTCTTGAGCGTAGCAGCAGCAGCAGCAGCTGCAGCAGCAGCAGCAGCAGCAGCAGAAACTGCAGCAGCAGCAACTACAGTAGTGACAACTGCAACAGCAGCAACCGCTGCAGCAGCAACTGCAGCAGCAGCAACTGTGGCAGCAGCAGCAGCAGCAACAGCAGCAACAGCTTTTGCTGCCCCTCTTTGGACCTCACCGCACATCTCAACTAAGCGCAGATACAACCAGCAGCAGCAGCAGCAACTGCTGCAGCAGAAACTGCAGCAGCAGCACCAGCAGCAGCAACTGCAGCAGCAGCAGCAGCAGCAGCAGCAGCAGCAGGTTCAAGCTCAAAGCCCTCGGGTTTTTCCTAAAGATCGCATATTGTGGGGCTGCAGCAGCTGCATGCGGCTGTAAACCCTGGGGAGCATCCACCCCGCTGCTGCTGCTGCTGCTGTCGCTGCTGCTGCTGCTGCTGCTGCTGCTACTGCGGCTAGACGTTGAGGTGCTGCCGAAGGCAAGTAGCGGCTGCACACCGCAGCCGCAATGTGAAGCAGCAGCAGCAGCAGCAGCAGCAACAGCAGCAGCAGCAGCAGCAGCAGCAGCAGCAGCAGACGAGAGTTCCGTGTTTTGCTTGACAGCGGCCATGCGGCAGCGGCAGCCTTACACGCCCCCTTGAGGCAGCAGCAGCAGCAACAGCAGCAGCAGCAGCAGCAGCAGCACTAGCAGCAGCTGCGGCAGCAGCCGCAGCAGGAGTAGCAGCAGCAACAACAGGAGGAGCATCAGGAACAACAACAACAGCAGCAACAGCAGCAGCAACAGCAGCAACAGCAACAGCAGCAGCAGCAGCAGCAGCAGGCATGGCAGGTCAGCGTCGCGGCGGGTGCGATGGAAAGTCGGGTACAGGCGACAGCAGCAGCAGCAGCAGCAGCAGCAGCAGTAGCAGCAGCAGCAGCAGCAGCAGCAGCAGCAGCAGGCGTGGC